ATTTGCCATACGAGATTCATCTTCGGGCATATTCAGACAACTAAACATGATAACACATTAAATGAAAGCAGTACAATGAAATCTATTTATCAACATTACACTAACTGACAAAAGTCCTGCCGCCTATCCAAGTTTTAGGAACAACAATCATTAACTTGACTTCTAGCTAATCATTTGTTATCAGAAGTGGCTTATATGCAGGGCAAAAACCTGTAGATTACACTTATTTACCAAAATAAAATATGATCATGTCTTGATTCTTAATTATTTAATTATGACAATAAGGTCTGACTTTGCTTAGACTAAAGTATTGTCACTTAACAGAAATAGTAAAGAATATAAAGTCATGGTGCAGAGGAAAAAAAGAATCAATATTGTGTCTGACTTCCATGAGCTTGGACGTCTGCATCCATACATCTCTGCAATGACTCAGATCATTTATATATAAAGTCAATTGTTATGGCAAAAAAAGAGTTCCTGCAGGACTCCCAGAGTTCATCAAGATTTTTTTTGTTAATCTTTAATGCCTCCTCCTTTATTTTACCCATGACATGCTCATTAATGTTAATTTCTGTTGACTGGGCTGGCCAATCCTGGAGCACCTTCACCTTCTTTTGCTTTCAGGAACTTTGATGTGGAGGCTTAAGTATGAGAATGAGCGCTATCCTGCTGAAGAATTTGCCCTCTCCTGTGGTTTGTAATGTAATGGGCAGCCCAAATGTCTTGATACCTCAGGCTGTTGATGTTGCCATCTATTCTGCAGATCTCTTGCATGCCCCCATAGTGAATGTAACCCCGAACCGTGACTTTTCCTTCACCAAACTTCACTGATTTCTTTGAGAATCTGGGGTCCATGCAAATTCCATTACTGTAGGTCTTCAAGTGTATTTGTCATGATTGGGATGCAGTTACCTTCTCACACTTTTCCAAATGATCAACTAGCACTTACTGTCTTACATTCACTGTCTTTTTTAAAGAAACTTACTGCTAAACAGGTTACAGATTTTTACTGTAGTACTTTTACAGTGCAGACAATATACATTGAGGCCTGATGAAGCAAGACTATTGGTCTGTACAACATTATTACCTTCTTCAATCCACAGCAAACAGTCCTCAGCATGATATTTCAGCCAGAAATGTACTACTAATTTTCTAAGAAGATCTGACATTTTCTATTACTGTGGCTGTGCGAGATTCAGAGCGGTTTCTGCATGCTGCGCTACACAAAACTTGAAAAAAAAGCCTGCATAAGATCTGCACTGCATGTGGTTTTTGAAAAAGTGTGTTTCCAGGCATGCAAAACCTGGAATTACATTGTAGAGAGATCAAGTTTAAGCAGGGATACAGGAGAACATGAGAAAATCTGATCAAGGCAGAGAATTCACTTTGTAAATTTCAGATAGCCATCCTGTGGTACGGTAACATAATGGTAAGCTTTCTAGATATGCTATTCTTATTTAATGAACCGTGTTTTGATTGATTGTGATGAGCATGAGGTAAGCATTTGTTTAAATGTTCACCTAAACTAAAAGGATTCTCTCCACACCCTCGGTATTAAAAATAAAGACATGCAGTGCTTTAGTATTTTCCAGGATACTTATTGGAAGATTGTAGCTGCTGTTTGTTGACAAAAGTCATTCAGATTTTATAAAGACAACAGAGATGCACTGAAAGGTTAATACTGAAGATGAGATGTTTACCCATTTTCCCTATGAATACAGATTAAAAACATTACATTTTTACTGGATCCTCTTTGTTAAAATCCTTTCAGTGCTGCAGAGAAGCTGCAGTTTACCCACGGATTTACTGTGCAGTATGTGTTCACATTGTGTCCAAAAGTAGGCGTTAATAGCTGCCATAACAAATATAGACAAAAGCAAAGCATGGAGATATAGGGTGGCCATCTGTCTGGGTTCGACAGTCTGGTTTTGAAATATTAGCACTGTTATATAGCCAGTGGTATATGAATAATTAAATTCAATGCTTCGTTTATATTAATATTAAGCATAGTTTTTGACACATTATTAAGAATATAGACTATTTTATTCCTACAGTAACAAGACATTGATGTTTGTTTGTGAATTATTCTTTGTTCTTGGACAAACTGACAATGATCCATTGATAAGCCACTTTAAATGAATCAACAGAAGACATCTTCCCCCCATTATTTCAAATATTCTATATGGATCTTATACAGTTCAAGTCAGAATTATAAACCCCCCTAAATTATTAGCCCCCCTGTTTTTTGTTTTTTGTTTTTTTTTTGCCCAATTTCTGTTTAACAGAGAGAAGATTTTTTCAACACATTTCTAAACATGTAAGTTTTAATAACTCATTTCTAATAACTGATTTATTTTATCTTTGCCATGATGACAGTAAATAATATTTGACTAGATATTTTTCAAGACACTTCTATACAGCTTAAAGTGACATTTAAAGGTTTAACTAGGTTAATTAGGGTAACTAGGCAGGTTAGGGTAATTAGGCAAGTTATTGTATAATGGTTTGTTTTGTAAACCATCAAAACAAAATATAGCTTAAAGAGGCTGATAATTTTAACCTTACAATGGTTTTTATTCATTCATCCATTCATTTTCTTGTCGGCTTAGTCCCTTTATTAATCCGGGGTCGCCACAGCAGAATGAATTGCCAACTTATCCAGCAAGTTTTTACGTAGCGGATGCCCTTCCAGCCGCAACCCATCCCTGGGAAACATCCACACACACATTCACACACACACACACTCATACACTACGGACAATTTAGCCTACCTAATTGACCTGTACCGCATGTCTTTGGACTGTGGGGGAAACCAGAGCACCTGGAGGAAACCCACGCGAAGGCAGGGAGAACATGCAAACTCCACACAGAAACACCAACGAGGTTCGAACCAGCAACCCAGCGGCCTTCTTGCTGTGAGGCAACAGCACTACCTACTGCGCCACTGCCTCGCCTACAATTGTTTTTTAAAAATCTATAACTTCTTTTATTCTAGCCGAAATGAAACAAATAAGACTTTCTCCAGAAGAAGTCATACTGTCAACATTTTCTTGCTCTGTTAAACATCATTTGGGAAATATTAAAAAAAGAAAAAAAATCAAAGGGGGGCTAATAATTCTCGCTTCAACTGTATATCATTCTATATTCAATTCATATTGTTATTGATGCAGTTGTTATAGTGCATGCATTCATGCATGGCATCTCTTTGCAATTCAGAGCGTGTATACAGAGGTGGACTAAGTGATTTGGGGGCCCTAAGCAATTCCAGGTTTGGGCCCACATTAAATCTCAAAACATTCTCTTTCTCTAGACATATATTTTTTCTCTGTATATTTGTTTTTGTTTGTTTTGTAAATAAACTGCTAATATTTAAACTAACAATTTAAAATGTTAAAAATATATTTTAAGTGTAACCTTTATCTTCTTAATGTAAAAATTAAATTCAATAAATTCACAAATAAAAAAACAAGTTCACAAACTAACGATTTGTACAGTTAACAAGCCAAATGTGTGATTACATGTTAATATTTGCATGTGCAGTAGGCTACGTAAGGAACGTTCTACTATTCATGAGGGCCCCCAGTTTTAAAAAGAAGTAATAACATTAAAATGTTTGGTTGCAAACAGATTTTACAACATATGACAGAAAATTTTGAAATGAGCTTTATGGTTAATTTAGATCAATAGATTAATAATGATCAATTTTTGGCATGGGTCGGGGCCCCGAATTTACTAGGGCCCTAAGCGACTGCTTACCTCGCTTATTGATTAAGTCCATCCCTGCATGTCCATCTAAACTCCAGATGATAAAATTTTTTTACTGCTACCTCTACAGTGCAAATATGCTGAAACCGATTATATTTAGTTGGTTAAGACCCTATATCAGGCGATGCGGTGGTTCAAGCTTCAGCTGGGTCAGCTGGCATTACTGTGTGGAGTTTGTTTGTTCTCCCTGCATTGGATTTCCTCCTGGTGCTCCTGTTTTCCCCAAAGTCCAAAGACATGCGGTACACGTGAATTGGGTAGGGTAAATTTTCCATAGTGTATGAGAGTGAATGAGTGTGAATGGGCATCCGCTGCGTAAAATAAGTGCTGGATAAATTGGCAGTTCATTCCACTGTGGCGACCGCAGATTAATAAAGGGACTAATCCGAAAAGAAAATGAATGAATGACTGAATGAATGACCCATATATATTTTTATAAAATGCTAATGAACTCCCTGTAGTTTTCCAAGAAGTTGGTTACTTTTTTAATATAACATTAATGTGATAGTTCACCTAAAAAATTTAATTCTATGATTAATTACCTTTAATTTGTTTCAAACTATTGTCTTTCTATTGAAAATAAAAATTGACATGCTACTGTCTAAAAAAATGCTGATTTTTTTTCTACCAAGTCAATGTTTGATGTTTCCAACATTCTTCAAAATATTTTCTTTTGTGCTAAAAAGAAAAAAAAAACAAGAAACTTTGAATGTATTTGCAACACTTGAGGGAGAGTAGTCTACATTTCCATTTCTGATGTGAACTATCCATTTAATGCATAACATATCCGACGGAACAACATAGAGGTGATTAAATAAAGACTTGTTTGTTTGTTTTTATGCGTTAATCACGCCATATAATGTGATATACATCGTCATGCCAAATCCATCTCTTGACATCCGCATAAAAATATCGCTTGCGTAGTGGCCTGTGCAAAGGAGGCAGCACAGGGAGTTTTTTTTACGCAAAATTCATTTATTTCATTGGTCCTTCACGGTACAGCGCCACGAATGTTCTTTATACCGATTGGCCCAAACGACTGTCCATAACCGGAGTCCAAACACAGCATTGGCCCATCTCCCGTCATCGTTTTTCCGTTTGTGTTTGTCAACGTTCCAGGCTCTGCACGATCTGATTGGCTGCTGTCAGTGGTTTGAAGGCAGCTTATTGGCTGAAGCCGTCGCGCGGACGACCCGCCTTGTTCTACCTGTCCCGCTATGAGAGGCTGAAGGCTCTTCCTGCTGTTAGGAGCAGATCCGCCCTGTCTCCCCCCCCCCCAACCACTGCCCGTGGATCTCGTGTGCTGTGCTGCTGAGTGGTACAAGCCGGTTAGCATGCCACTCAAACGCGGATTCTGCTGCAAATAAATCCCGATCGTGATCACGCAACGCCGTATATCTGCAATTGGAGCGAAGGCCTGGTTGCGCAGAAATATTGGCGCCGCGGAGGGAGCGGGTTGGTGGATAGAGGGGTGCGTGGCGGTGGGAAGTGCTTTCCTAACCAAATCCTCCAGAACATGGCGGAGCACCACACCGCCTCCGACTGCAAGCACAAAGCGAGCTCCAACGCCGGAGGTTCGGTCTCCGGGAACGGACGACCCAACTCCCCGGCTGGATGCAGCGGAGGAGGCCTTTCCGGAGGACTGACGCAGCCGGCGGGATGGCAGTCTTTGCTGTCGTTCACCATTCTCTTTCTGGCCTGGCTGGCAGGGTTCAGCTCGCGACTTTTCGCAGTTATTCGCTTCGAGAGCATCATTCACGAGTTTGACCCTTGGTGAGTATCAAGGCGGGCGGGTTGTGGCGCATTTATCAGCTGACGTTTGCGTGTGTAATGCGCGGTTTTTCTCGCCGTCAATGAACTGTCAGTGCGGGCTGCACAAAGCCTCCGCGATCCTTCTTTCATCCGACTGTAATTGTTTCAGGAAGCGTTTAGTGTCTTGCTTTGCGTCCATGCTTGACAATTTTGACACGTAACCGCATGGCAGCTGCCCTCCATCTTCTTTTTTTTTTTAATATATAATTCTCCATAAACGAAATTGTGATAGTTGTTACGATATAGTAATGTGCTGTTTTATTACAAAATGATTATCTTCTGAGATCTAATGCAAGGTTTCCTGAAAATCCAAAATGAAGCAAATGATCAGAAAATTCTAACTTTTGAGTGTTATTTCTTATATTATGCTGCTTTTTAAAATCCTTTATTTCTTAAGATGTGCTGTAATGCATTGTTGTTACTGTTTCTTATCATTAAATTCAATGGTAACTAAGCTAATATAATATAATAGTCCTAGTAACTATTCACCATTACAAATTCATGACTTGTTACTGGTCTACTAGTCACGAGTACAATGGCTTGTAAGTGGGATACACACAAGATCTAGTGTGTAGTCAATTAGTTCTGGTAAACCTGGAAGAGGAAATAACTGTTTGAGTAGCCACAGTTATATTACAAGTAAGTACTTGTTTAGTAAGTGTTAAAACTATCACTAGTCAGGATTGATGTCTTTAACATATCCAGTGATAAATTTGCTGTAACTGTACAATAGTGGCTTTTCACTATGAGTCTCTATTGGATCACATATTTAATGTAGATTTCTATTTGTTTATATTGCTTATTGTTAGAAACTAAATCAATTTGTCACTAATATATATAATCTTTACGTACTCCTTTAGCTGCTAGTTACTTGAAGTTCAAGTGGTAGTGTCTACAGTTACTTATGACTAAGGCCAGACATAATCTGTGGACATTTCTCTTTCAGCTGAGAATTTTGTAAAAAAAAAAAAACCTCTGGCTTTGTGTGGAATCATCATAACTAAAAACTTAATATATAAAATAAAAATGCATTTTTACATTTTATTTAATGTTTACAATGCCAATCCAATTAGATCCACTTAATAAATAATATTTGATAAATATTTAATAATATTAATACTTGATAAACAAAGCAAGTCTATATATATATATAATATTTCTACTTAAAGACAACATATTACTTTACAAATTGTGTAAGTAAATCATATGAATATTTTATTATTATTATTATTATATCACAATAATAAATGGGAAATGAATTAAAAAACTGAATAATTATACATTTACACAAGTAAATACTCGTAGATGGACTAAAAAACGTCCTTGTTGGCCAATTATGACAAATTTAGTTGCTTTTAACAATAAGTACTTCCTTATGATGATTAGTAAGTGGTAATAGACATCAATGCAGTATTATTTAGAAATGATAGTTGATGCTAGGGCTGCACGATGTATTGTTTATTGCAATGTGCGGATCTGCAATAGTCACGTCGCAAGATATGCAATGTTAAGTCTGAATTAGTTTGCTGGGCAATAGTTGACCAGGAGCATGAATTGTATTAGTTTACTGCATTTATTTTGAATGTATACGCTTAATGCAACAACAAAAAAATAATTGTGTATTGTTTCCAGTCCAAGTTATTAACAAAATAATTTTAAAATCAAATTACATTACATCTAATATACATTGTATTTTATTAACAATATATAATTTTACCTATCCCACTAACATATAATTTATTTTGTTTTAAAGCAAAACTCTTCATTTTGACTTAATTTTTCTGAAAACAAAACAATATTTTTACTTGATCTAAGAATTTATTGATAGTTGGACCAGAAATAAGACGAATTGTCTCATTGCGATTTATTCAATTTCTGTAGCTGAACACTAATGGACTCTTCGAAAACCGTCAAATAATGCTATCCAATCTATCTTGTAAAACTCTATTTATATCGCAATATTTATCGCAGAAAAATAATATATGGCATGATCACATTTTTCCAATATCATGCAGCCCTTGTTAATACCTTAATACATCACCATAGTGTCCGAACGTTTTGTTATGAAGGGCAAAATACCAAACTTGATTTCGAGTCGTGGGCCAAAGGTAAATGTGTCAAGCTGTATAATAAGGTTGCCATGGGTAATTTATTTTAAAATGAATAAAAAAAAACATGACTTTAATCCGATTAAGTAATGCATTATATATTCCTTGAACACTTTATAATTAACCTAAATTAATGAAGACATAAGAGTTCCATTTCTAACACAATGAAGTTTAATGCTAAATATACTAGTCAAGCAGCACCTGCCTTTGACTTGATTTGCTCACTAAGGACTTTTGAGTTGTGGTGTATCCGTTGAGCAACTGGATATTTATTAAATATTAATAATAATAATTTACAACATATAATTGAAACCTTTAATCAAATTATTTTTTTCTAACTTAAAATAAAACAATGTTTATTAAAGCTATTAACCCTCACTCTCTTCTCTGTTTGCATGGTGGGCTAAATTAAAGGTTACCATGGGCCAACCTTGGCCTATGGGCCAACCTTGGCCTGTGGCCCCTAGTTTGGGCAACTCTGCTCTAGTGTGAAATTTGCATTAACCTGGAACAACAGAATTGTTCTTTTTCACTATTTAAATAATGAGTAAAACAAATAAGTTCTATTATCTAATGAGTATTGATGAATGTTAAAAATGAACAAAGGAATTACTTGCAGTTGGATCACAGATTCTTGATATGAATCGCTGTTTGTCATTGTTAATTGCTAGCAATCCATTAATGATTAAAAGCCGACTAACATCATTAATTTAAGTTTGAATTCAGTTATTGGCTTTTATTATGATGGTGGTGTACACTAAAAGTGGATATCTGTAGCAGGAACTAAAACAGGAACTTGTAAATATTTAAAGAGTAATTGCTTCTTATTAGTAAATGGTAAAACTTGAATTGGCAGGAGTTTACAATAGTTGCCGCAGCACTACATAAATATAATGGAACAGTCATTAAAAAGAAATCTTTGTAAACAAAACCATAATAATCAAGTTTTAAGACGACTTGCTGTACTGTAACATCATGTCCTGGTACGTTTAATGTTTGCAGTTGGGGATTATTCATTAAAAAGAGAAAAAAAATCTCTGTTTCATAACACTGTCAGATTTGCAGATAAGTGTAATACTCTTGATCCACCGAGCTGTCACATTCAAGCTTTTAACTTCTGCTTTAGGACTAATGGTGTATTTTTAGCGCTAAAATGTTTAATCCATTCATGAATCATAAGGTTTGAGTTAAACCCCTTGTGCGGTAATTACATCCAATCGAGACTCAAAAGCATTTACTTCCCTTTCTTCAACATTTAGCTTCGCTGTCTAGTGTTTCCTTATGTCCTCCGTTAAGAGCAGCAGTCGCTCCTGTTTATGACACTGTTATATAAAGTCTCAAGGTGGTAAATGAGAGTGGATTAATTTAGGTCAAATTCATAATCAGGAACTTTATGGTCACGCATCTCCTCATGCCAGACTCCTTAAACACAGTAATTGTATAAGCAGGTGTGATTTGCATTTCAGCAGTTTTGCTGCAAGAGAATAACAGCAGGAACATCCTTTCACAGCATGGTCCCAATTTTCAGATTTACAATAATAACGGCTGATATTGAGGGTCATGGTGCTCTGCATTCATTAGTCTGAACGGGAGATCAAACAGTGTTATCTGTGTGCTTAAACAAACCCTTAACCTGCCTCCTAGGCTAAAATTAATGACATTCAGTGGAAGTACGTCTTCATGCAAAGAAGGAGACATACTATAAGGTTATGGGTTGTTTGCACTTGCCGTCATGATTTTCTTTCAGTGCTGTAAATCTAAATTTTGTTTTAGTAGCAATTCAATGAATTTTCCTAACTGAAACGGTGTCGCCCAAATACTTTAAAGCCAGAATATTTGATGTGTTTTTGAGTGTTTCTGTGGTGATGCATTTGACTGTGGTGGTGTCTGTGGCTTTCACACAATGTGGATAAGTAGCAACTACAGGTAAGCCTGTCAGCAGTGTGGGCACACTTAACTGTGACCACAAATACTTCTAGAATAGAAATGTCAAATTTGTTTGGCTGAAATATTGAAAGTTGGCATGTTCACAGTGAACTGTTCTGCAAATGGTTTAGTCACTTGGAACAACATCAGAAAAAAAGTTTACCCTGAAGCAATTACAGAACTTTAGTTGTTTTTATTGTTGTTGTTTTTTTTTGGCCAAATGAAATCTTTCTGTGTTTCTGTAAAATAGCTTTTTCAGTGCATCACTTGTGTTTAGAAAGTTTGTAGAAGGAAGTGTTGTCAAAAATGTGTATATCGATTAGGCATGGGATGATTACTGTTTTTTAAAGTATACTGTGGTTTGGAAAAGGCAAGGTTTTAAAACTGCCAAAATGTTATGCTATACTGTTTCTCAGGTATGTGTACAATTTATTTTATTTGCGTTTTATTATTTTTTTTTTTTTTGATTTATTTATTTTTTTTTTTTACCCAGCTGTTTAAAAAGAATATATTTTAGAGCAGTAATCACAATATCTTCAAACAGTGATATATTTTTTTTTATCAAAAGTTATCATACCATCAGACTCTTATAGCCATCCATGCCTTATATCGATACTGATATATTTTAAATGATGCTTTTGGTTAGTGTCTATCAATACTGTTTGGTGCTTTCACACTCTCTTCTCACCAGAAGGGAATGAGATGAGGTTACAATGTTGCTGTATTTTCTCCACACAGCATCAAAAATTGTATTGAATAATATAAATATTATTAGAAATTCCAGTATCGTGTTCGTTGGTGTTGTCATGATACAGATATTCGGTATCAATTGGTAATAAAATTTTTAAAAAGTCCATTTCCAACTAACGTTTAAGAGCTGTTGAGTATGTTGACCAGTATCGTGACTAGGCATGGGCCAGTAAATGA